GACAAGGAAATCCAGATCTCCTCTTCTCTACGTGACATTATTTTCACCAGAATCATGCACCAATATTGAGATTTAAGAAAACGTTGGATGTGAACATTAAGTATAATATGGCCTATAATTTCATTTTATTGAAGTACAAGTTGACTTCGTCATAGTGCACTAACCATCCAACTTTCCACAGATAACCTAAATTTGTGGATATTTTAGCCAGTCAAAACGTTCTATAAAAATGTAGTCTCTTAATTCTTCAAAAATATGCTTCATATATACAATTACAGGGATGAACTTGTTCAGTGCTCAAGTTAGGATGGATGAGGATGAGAACTTAAAAGGTCATCAAGTTTGGGGCATGAACCTGTTGATAGACGCTGAAGCAAATGTTTAAAATAATTTGCCCTTGCCATCTGTATGATGTTCTGATCAGAAAATGAGAGATTCTCCAATATTTCCTCTGCATCTCTGGCAGCTTGATTGTCATCACCACTTGTCATTGTCACCAAAAGGAAAATGCAACCCTGAACCTTCCCAATGCTGCCTCGTAACACATTATATTTTGATAGCTCCAAAAGTAATGCCACTGCTAACCTCCTTTCATCCATACGGCGCCCCAAGGACCGAACTACAGATTCAATTGCACCATCAACTTTTGCCATTCTATCCTGCAAAATATTTCAATTTTTTGGGTAGAAAACATATGAGAAACATATATGCCTTTCTGGTTAGCATGAATATTGATGCAACATACTTGCAAGTAATCCTCTTTTGATTCAAGAAGACAGTAAATCAGTAAGAGTACTTCATACCAATGGCATGCGAAACAGATTTGTCAAATATGGGATACCTAGATGAGTGTGATCCTAGATATATACTTATTAGTACTCTGTTCTTTCAAAAACTCATTAACACCACTTTATCCTATAATTCAATACTTGATGACTGAAAACTCATGTTTATGAAGTGAAGTAAACAAAACAAAATCCAATGCTAGGTGACAATAAAATGGTATATGAAATATATTTGTCTACACATCTTATTCAAACAGCTTAATCTAATTCCTAAACGTCAGATCATATGTTTCACTACTACCTATATTTTGAAGAGGATCCTTATCAATATGATTAAAGACATCTAGTTGCAATTTACTGCAGAAAACTAAAAAAAGGAATGAAAAGGATCCAGTTTCAGATAGAGTACCTTTGCATCATCACTATCTTTTGTCAAAATGTGAAGTATGACAAGTACACCATTCCTTATGTCACGATTTTTTCCACCAAGAAGTTGAATAAGAACTGGTATATAGTTCTCCAAGATCACCCACTCTCGGTGCAGGTCTCTTTGTTCACAAAGATCCTTTAGCTGTCCCAGACAATGAAGCACTTCTTCCTCATCTCCAGATGTGAGATTGGGTTTCATGGAAGCAATTGTTATCATAGTGTTTCTATCCTTCCACTCTTCTATTGACTGCCTCAGAGTTTTGTTAGGGCGTAGAATTGATGTGTCTAGGGGCGTCATTGTCAGAGGGCATAAGTTGTTCCCTTCTGTAAACCACTTTTCTATCGCACTTCTCTCAAATGTCTGTCCTGAAGAAGTCTCCACAGGATCTACCATTACGTCACGTGTGATTGGACAATAAAATGATTGAAGAGGCTCCAGCGGTTGACTACCCAGAGATTTCCGCTTAGTGAAATACTTCATCTCTTTCTCTTTAGGAGAACAAGCAGCATCCGCCCTTCCCAACAAAGCAATTATCTGATCCATTTGTATAGCTTCAGCCTTGTCCTTCCTAAGCCTGACATTTTCAATCTCATTTTTGAAATCTTCAAGTTCCTTTTTTAAAGCTGACCTCTCAGTAGGTATCCCAACAGCTTCTGCAATGAGAACCAGCAAACTGTTTGCATAAGAACGATCAGCATTCCTCTCCTGTATGCCTGTCTCAATTTTCTCTAAGATCTCTTCTTCAGCTATAGCAGCCTTGAACTCAGCCTTCTGCATACTGTCACAGAGATTTCCAATTTCTACAACTATAGCTGAAGAAAGCTCTAAAGATGTCAATGGAAGGAGACTCAGCGCCCTGCTTATCTCTCTCATGGTACCTTCTAGGCGCCTGACTATTCCACGGCTATTCATTAAGAGATAAACTTTGCTTTTGGTGCTGCATTCTAGAGTTAGTTGCTTTGCAGCTTTGATTTTTTCATTGAGAATCTCAATAGCATTGTTCAAACTCTCAGAACTAGAAATATATCTTCTATTCAACTCTTTTAGAACTGGGACAATTCTCTCTAAGTAAGTTGCAAGTTCCTTGAAACTATCCTTCTTAAAGAGGACATCATTTGTAGCAACCACAGTCTCAAGAATGGCCTCTACAGTCTGAGAAAGGATCTCCGAAGCCGGAACGAATGAGGCACTGGTGACTATGTCTATTGCCATCAAATCACAACCAAACGAAATCTAGGAAGCATAACCTTTTCTTCCAATATGATCAATACACCAACTAAAAGTGGCAATAGCCAGACTGCAAGACAGCGGTTGAAGCATTTTCATCCAAAAACAATGCTTCCACTTTTAATAAAATAAAACACCTATGTTAAAATCAAAATTGAATAAACCTCTCAGAACTATTTGCTTAAAACATATAAACCATTATACCAGATTAAAAACAAGAATATAACTGAATAAGTTGGAATATTGCCTTTTTTGGTTGCTTTACAAATAAGAGTAGAAGAAAACAGAATAGTAAAGATAGAATGCTAAAGGACTTTTAATTTTGTTGGCCCAAGTAGGAAGATAACAAAGCAGGCCGGCCTCCCCCATAGGATAATCACCCCAATCCCATGGAAAACTAGAAGACATGTTAAACTTTCTGTTTGGCCCCCAAGAAAATACAAGTGAAGAAATCAAATTAATTTATTTTCTATAGGGAAAAGGCTGAGCTTTTTCTCTCCTTGACCAAAATAAGGGTGGTCTTACTCAATGTCCATAAATTAAAAAAAAAAAAGTCCTACACAATCCTGTTTTCTAAGGCACTAGACCTTGAAAGGCTGCTACAATAGAATTGCTGTTCTCTTTCATTTCTTAGATTTTCCAGGAAACCAAACAACAGTTAGCAGAATAATCATAGTGGAAAACTAACTATAAAGCAACAAATGTATCATTGGCCATGGACTTGAAACAGAAACAAAAGTGTGAAAGTCCAAATTCAATGAAACAAGATCATGAAAAACAAATTTCAACTTTGAAATCTTATTTCTTCAAAATTTGAACCTTCAAAGAGCGATTCAAAGAACCCAAATTATTATACTTAATATACCTAAAGCACAAGCGAAAACCCACATAGTCAACTGGCTAGAAAAGCTTAATTCCAATAAAAGACAAGCTTTCAACAACAAGAGAGAGAGAGAGAGAGAGAGAGAGAGAGAGAGAAACCTGAAAATGAACTAATGTTGAAGAAAAAAAATCCAAGAGCCCACGGCTACAGACGGCTTCAAAAGACAGCTTTTCGAAGGAAATTTTCCCGGAAATATGGCGATCGGGTCACTGGGACTCTAGGAGAAGACTCCAGCCGCCGTACAAGAGGCCTCCCCACTAAAAATGCATCTATATATAAATAATAAAAAGATAAGAAAAGTAAACAATTCTTCTTTTTCTTTCTTTCTTTTTTTTTTGGGTCGTTTTTGTTTTTATTAATCCCAATTTATGTTACCCCTGACAACTTATTCTGTCCACTGTTCACACAAAGTGAGGACGACTTCCTCTTCTTCTTGGCTTATGAAAGTCTTGTTAACGCTGTCGTTTTCTGTTCTGTTCTGTTCAAAGGCTTTGGCCTTCGCCTTTTTTTTTTTTTGACTGTTGGGAACAGCCCCCCCAATCAATTAATTAATCATCACACCCCTATCAAATAAATCATCAATGCTCAAACTGCAAATTGATCTCATAAACCAAATAATCAATTCCAAATCACAGGCCAAACATTCAAACATATTACCTTTTTTTTTTTATGTAATCCTATTTATCTTACAACTCTTTTTAAATCTTTTCTGCTATTGAAATTTTCATTGCTTCTAAACACGTCAACTTACTTATAAAAAAAAATCTTTCATTTTGAAAATTTTATCTCCCGTACCATCTAATTAGTTTCAAAAAATCTTAATCAATTTTCAAAATTCATCTTCGTCTAAAAGGAAAAATATACATATAGACGGAGAGAGAACAGAGAAAAAAACTGCAGCGGCCTTTTCGAAACATGTTCCCATTGCGGGAAGTTGACTTAGCCCAATAGCCAAGAAAAGGAAAAACAAAACATTGAAGCAAAAAGAAATCTAATCAATATATAATTACAATTGTTGATGCAAATATGTAGCCCACATCTTAGAAATTGACATTTTAGATGTTCCAAGTTAAACACTTTGAAGATGTTTTTTTTACACAATTTGGCTTCCCTGTAAACAGAAAAAGAATAGGAAAAGAAAAGCGTAGCATTTCGGACACGATTCTTATTCCAAGAAATTAAGGAACTTGGACTAAAAAATTCATGCAAAAGCATGTAGTTATCTTTGAGGAAGGAGCCAAACTTGCCAATAATAGCCAAATAAAAATTCCTTCGCAAAAAAAAAAAGAAAGTATCATGATTTATGTCTGGGTTTAGTCTAATTTTTTTGTTGTTGGATTTTTTGTCCAAAAAAATGATGTTGCCTTGTCTTTGCTGTGTGACACTAAATTCATGTTTTTGTGATTTTTTTTTATCATTTAAAGGGACAGATCCCTACATTAAAAGAGAGGAAAAAAATTAGAGCTCGAACCTCAATCTTAATATTTTTTTTTAAATTATCTTGATCATTAAATCAAGTAATTGAAGACATGACTATGTGATTTCAGTTTATAGTCAACAGCGACAGCAGGAGAGTCCACTAAACCAAACCCAAAGGATGAAAAACTTGAAACGTCTGAGCTCAAGTTCAACATACAGAAGAGAAAAAAAAAAAAAAAAAAAAAAAAGAGCGATTCATAGGGCACTATCAGCTAAGCACACCTACACTGGAAGTTGAATCCAAGCTCAAGTCTTTTTCAGGGTAAACGTTAGAATTATACACGACTTATAGTTTGCAAAAGGTAGAATATGATCAAAATAACTTGCCTCTCTTTTAGGAAAAGTAAACAAAAAAGACTGGTTTACTTACATGCGTGAACAAGAAAGCTTTAGGAATTCAAGTTCCACTACTGCATACGATTTAGAAACGTGTTTTTTTGTCGAGCAGCATCGAGACTTTGAAAATAATGGTTTGAGTTAAACCGCATGAATTTCATGCGATACGTTATAGCTGGCCAAACTGGCCAAGGACTATTGAATCGATGGCCAGACTTTTCACAGTCCCCTTTTGAGTAACAGCGTCTATCGTCGCCATGATATCAACATCAAGTCAAAAAACAAACGCTTCAAAGACCAATTCTTAAATCTACAACTACTACAAGAGCCAGGTGGGGCAAATGACAATTAGAAATGTTCAGCTGTTTGGTCCTTAAGCTGACTTTCATAAATAAATTGGGACCGCTCAAATTTTCAATAGATTATATATATTGCCACATTTCTTTGACTATGCAATATTGCCAGCTTCGCAAAATAATACATAAGGGTCTATTTTTCGCCAAGATAAAGGTCCTGTTAAAGATGTTGACAATTCGTCGTCAGATGCAAAAACATAAAGACAGAATGTGGGTATTTGAACAAACTAGAAATCTCAAAACTACATCTTGTTATCCACCAGCTGTCGGTAATTACAGCAATGAACCATAACCACTGATCCCCCAAGACCACCTCATGAATTGGCAGATAAATTTTGAATTTAAATCATCTAGTCTTCATCCAGGTCCCATAAGGAATCCACCATCATGCCAGAAGTCAATATGCGAATCTGATCTTTCACATCAAATCAAGATCAAAATCATTGTTCTAGAATCAGTGTTAAAGAGAAGTTCTAAGCTGGAATTTGTTTATGAACTTCAGAATGGTTACTATCATAGCAGCTACTGCTACCTTTTAGAAATTTTGGTTACTTACAGCTCATTTGCAATCATGGAAAAGACAAAAGTCCTTACTTCGCAAAAGGTCTGACGAATCCGCTAAGGGAATCTGCATTGTTCCCCAAATTCTCCATGATGACATGTTTCATAGCCAGAGCTACAACCAAGTCATGAGAGATATTGCAATTGTTTATAAAAATCTGCCTTGACACTCCCCATCGTTTTTCCATCTCCCATTAAATAAATGAGTAGCACAAGAAAACTTCAGGATATGGTTAACTTCTAAACAACATTAAACACCCGAGATTCTTACGTAGCACTCTCCAATAACAACCGACCAAGAACATCAACCCCACTATCCAGCTTGCCAACAATCTTGGTTAAAAAAAGATCCCAAGAACTCCTATCAACTCTCCTACTTGACATAGCCATTGAAACAACCTTCTCAACATCCCCTTCCTTTCCCACACCCTGAAGCCCCTCAATCAATATACTGTAAGTTACCTTATTTGGCAAGCAGCCTTTATCCAACATTTCCTCCAGAATTCTAATCCCCTCCATCGCCTTCCCAATCTTACAAAACCCCTTAATCAACATATTGTACGTGAACACATTTGGATTACAACCTTTTTCCACCATATAATCCCACAGCTTTCCCGCCTCACTCAATTCTCCTCTCTCACACATACCATTAATCAAAGTATTATAGGTCAATAAACTTGGAACCGAACCTTTCTCAAACTCATCAAACATTTTCCTAGCCTCCCAAACCTTCCCTTCCTTACAGAGCCAATGAATCAACGTACTCAATATCGCATTATCTGGCAAACAATCATTTTTCAGCATCTTCTTCCACAAGTAACAACCGACCTCCACTTTTCCCTCTTCACACAACACATCAATTACTTTACAACAAAGCGAAGAACTAGGGATATACTTTCTCTGAAGCATATCATCAAACAAGTTAAGCGCTTCCCCAGACTTCTTCTCCTTACAAAAAGCCTCAATCATAACTCCATAAGTAACCTCATTCGGATCAACACCATTTTCCTCCATTTCATCCATCACCTTAACAGCCTCATTGAACTTCCCCAATCTACAATACCCATTCATTAAAACCGTATACGTGGTAGCATCAGGAATCCACCCTCTATCCAATAACTCCCCAAAAACCCTCTTCGCATTTCCCATATCCCCCCTCGCCACGTAACCGCCGAGAATTGTCGTATAAGTAACCACATTTGGTACCATTCCCATCGCAGGCATTTCATCGAGCACTTTATATGCGGCTTCGACGTCGTTTTTCTGACAAAGTGCTTTGATCAAAATATTGCCAGTAAAAACATTCGGTATAACGTTAAATTTTGCTTTGCTGTTTTTGAACATTAAGTGAACCAAATCGTACCGTTTGTTTTGAACCAAAGCGTTTAACAAAGTGTTTAAGGATCTAACGGATCGTTGGACGTTGAACTTTTCGATCCGCAAAAAAGTTTTTACTGCTAATTTTGGAAGGGAAGCGAGGCCATAATTTCGGATTACCGAGATGAAAAGATTTTCACCGCATTTGATTTGGGAATTTTGGAGCTGAGAGATGAGGGATTCCATGGGTTCGAAGGCGCGTGCACGAGAGAGTTTGTGGATGATGGAGTGGTAGGTGTCGTAATTATGGAAAAAGTTCGGGTGGAATTTGCCGGCGTAAAGGAAGATTTGGAGGGCAAGATCGAGGTTTTGTTGGCGGTTGATCATGGAGACAAGGCGTTTTGGGTAGAGGCGTTGGGGCCAGGGTTTGATTGGGGGTGTGACGGTGTAGTATTGGAGTGGGGAAGAGGGATCTATGGCGGAAAGGTCGACGGTGGTGAAGGACCGGACGGTTGTTATTGAATGGAGGAGACCGATCTTCCATCGGTGCAATTGACTACAACGCATCATGGTTCAGAGTAACAGAGCCCTAGGAGTAGCCTTGAACGAGGCACCGATTGATTTTAAAACTTGGAATGAACCTGCAAAACGACGTCGAGTCTTCTACAGTTGCTACTTGAGACAAACCTTTTTTTTAAGTCGTATTTTAACATTTTATAATTATTATTGATTTTGTTTTTTGAAAATGTTTTTTTATTAAAAAAAATGTTGATATAAAAGTAAAAGTCCTTAAAAATTTATGAATACATATGAAATAAAATTTTTAATAATATATATTTGATTAAAACTACTTATATTTCTTAACTAGTTTTTTTATTTTTTTCACGTTAAATATGTTACTTTAAATCATACATATTTGTTTGGCCAAAACAAAATCATACATATTTATATAAAATTATTTTTAATATATTCATAATGAAAATTTTTAATTTTATAAATGAAATTAAAAAATTATTAATACATGTTTTTTTTTATATGTTATTTTATTAATCTTGACAATACAATTTAAAAAATTTCATTGTCAACATAATAATGTTTTAAAATATGATAATATATTTTGAAAATTTTATTTTAAAGCTATAATAATAAAATAGAAAACCACCCAAAGTAAATGAGAAACAAAAATACCAGCCTTAAAAAAACCCAATACAAATTAAAAAAAAAATCCATTGCTTCATGCATTCTCTACCTGTAATGTAAACATTACATTTTACATTGTTAATGCATCTTAATTAATCATACAGCAAAACTGCATAAGGCTGGTATTGGTAATTTATCTGTAACCAAATTCCTGACCTTGACTTTCACAGCCCCAGTAAGCTTTTGCACCCCCTTAGCAATTCTAGACAATCTGTCTTCCCCTATCGTCTTCTCTGACCAAATCCAAACCTGTTTGGTCTCATTCAATTCATCGTAAATCCTCTCCAACTCCTCCAAAACTTCACTTACTGTCTCCAACTTGTTCCTCTCAATCAGCATCTTCAACAAGCTAACCAGGTGCTTATTGAACTTCCCTTTTGTAGCCAGTTCCTTCACTACTTGTCCCTTCTCTTTATCACCCAGAAACGGGTCACTTAACAAAGCTTGAATTTGAGCATTTTGGAGTAGTTTTGAGAACTTTTGCACATCTTTTTGCACTGCGTCAAGTGACCTGTTGCATTGAGCTATGTCTAGAAGAGCTGCAGCGTATCCGCTGGCTGGCTTTTGATGGACATAAGGAGAAGAAGTGAGAGGTTGGCTGGCTTGAGAAGTTGAGAAGAATGGAGAAGTACTGAGGTTTTTGTGAGTAAAAGAGGTGGACTTGTTGGCGGAGATGGTGGTTGTTTTGGCGCTTGAGAATAAATGGGAACAGTGTGGAGAAGGTGGAGGAAATCGACGTTGTCTGTTGGGAGTTTTCAAGTGACAGAATTCACGAGGTGTTGTTGAGTAGAAGTTAGGAACTTTGAGGGTTGAGACAGAGCTTGATAGGGTGTCCATGGAATGGAAGAGACAAGTCGTTGGCGAGTGCGTGTGGGCGTAGGCCGTAGCTCGAAGCAAACTCGTGATTTCGTTTTCTTTTGTTGGAGGAAGAGATGGGATAAGACATTAGATTTTTTTTTTTTTTTGTGGTTGGAAATTGAAAACAACTTTTTAAATGAAAAAATATATATATTATATGGCATTTATACTTTAGTAAAATAAAAATCAAATTCCATGAAGCATGATTTACATATACCTTTTAACTTTGGCAGAATTTACAAATATCAAAGATTCCATGGTCAAACGTAATTTTCGCTTTTCTCATTACCCATTTCAGGCCAAACAATCCAATTCCTGAGAGAACTTAACACGAAGAGAAAGTTAAGACTGGTGAGTGGGCCTGAACTTTACAAATATGGCCCATGCTAGTACATCTTTGAAAAATATAATAGAAACAGCCCATTAGTACTGCCCGAAAGAAGAGATCAAAAATCAAATAGAATACACCAATCGTGCTCTGCCCCTTGCCCTCTGTTTGAGGTCTCTCCGGACCCAGCTCGAAAGCTTTAAATCTACACTCAGATTTCTTTGTCCAGTAAAGTTCAAATGTACACTGTACGGTGGCTTTGTGTCTGGGATTGCATGGGAATTTCGCCGAAGCAACATTGTTTGGAGTACATAACTGGTGGCCCCCCGCGCCCTGCCGCCCTCTAATCCGTTGCTGATTGTTTCAGGATCTTTTCCCTTCCTGCTCTCTTTATTTTCCTGTTCGTTTGCCCTTTTCACTCAGCTTTGCTTCATTACTTACATACAATCATGATCACGTTAGACCTTGAAATATGTCATTTTAATAGTGCTAAACAAATGCAATCATGGCTGATAAGCTTGCATTTTTAAAGTGTTTACATTTATGGTGAAGGAGAAGTTCTTTTCAAGAAGATCGAGAGAAAAAAAAATTGCTCAGTTATTAGGGACACCACATTGGATGTTGGAAAATCAATTTCAATATATAATGAGTAGTTTGGCCTTTTGGGGTTGGAATTTCTGGAAGAATTGAAGGGACGCACACTCATTTTAAAATTTGATAAGAAAAAAAACAAAAGGAATTTCTGTCTGTGGCAGAATTCATTATTCGAGAGTCGAGATATACAGCATGCTGTGTTCAATTTTAGAATTCCTTCATAGACGTGGGTCTTTCATCGTTATTCTTGGGAATGCTACTATGCTGAATTTTGTCGGTGCGAAACAATTGAAGGTCCACTTTACTTCCTGTAAAGGCAAAAGATCATTTAGAAGCTTCACATCCTTTATGTTAATTATTGCCAGGCTTTAATTCAGCCTGAAAAAAATAAATGTATACAATAGGCAATAGCTATGCCATGTGATGGATCATGTTCGACCATGACATGATTTATGAAAAAAGGAAAATCAATTGCCTTTCCTGAATGCAAAGTTCATTAATGACCAGAAATTTAAAGCCTACTAAATAATTAAACTGAGGAGAAAACCTAACAGGCTTTATTTTCTTTGTACCCCGAATGTATTAAATTGGGGTCAACTGTCAAGAACATGGTTGTTGGGTCTGCCCTCTCCTTTAATGCCAACTTGATTAGTTGGCCAGTTTTCAGGCAGACGGCATATTTGCTTTGATCATATCAAAGTACTGGCAATCATGTACGTGAGCCATACATCATCCCAATTAAAAATAATAATGAAAGAAAATTAAGTTACAACGAAACCATGGTTTGAGAATTTTCGATGATTAGGATTTTAAAGAACAAAACAACTTTTTGCTTTTTTAATAACTTTGCGAAAGCACTTTTAATTACCATTAGAAGAGTTTCTTCCGGAGATTATGCCGGGAATTATGAGATTATTGTTCTGTGTATGTGGCGCTAAGTTTCAGTTTCAACAGATCTCAATCGGCCACCCCATTAAGCAAAAGAAAAGTTTATAATTTAGCCTTTGCCCTCCATCATTATTTGAAGTAAATTAATGAAAACAGCATGGGTACGCTCACGATAAAGAATTAATAGAGAGACGAGGACAGGACCGTATCAGTGACCGGTGACTACAACCCTTGAACCCCTGTCTTGTCTGATCATCATTTTTACATCTTTTTTATAGTATTTTTTTTTCCCTTTCTTTCTTTACTTACTCTCACTTACCCGCAACACTAGAGGCCAAGAACAGCATCAAGATTTAAGCATCATATTTGATTTTATACTAGTTCTTGTTTTTGCAGCACTGTATAAGAAGAAAAACAAGAGGTGTGTGTCATTCTTTTTTCCCGGCTCTATTGGTTGATTGCTAGTAAGGGATAAAAATGAACGAAGAGATGAATGGTGTTGATGTCGAGAATCATCAAGAAATTGTTCCCGAGAAAATAGATTATGTGTTTAAAGTGGTGGTGATCGGTGACTCAGCTGTTGGCAAGACTCAGATTCTATCCAGGTTTACCAAGAATGAGTTTTGCTTTGATTCCAAGTCCACCATTGGGGTTGAGTTCCAGACCAGGACTGTTACCACTAAGAGCAAAGTCGTCAAAGCCCAGATCTGGGACACTGCTGGCCAAGAAAGGTTAGCTTCTCTTCCCTCTAAAGCTCTCTGTTTTGAGATTAATGCTGTCTGAATTCATTGTCTTTGTCCTTACTGTAACCGATGCTCCTTTAACTCAAATCAATCTAGTTTGATTGGTCAAATGGTATTTCCAAGTAATACAAGAAAAAATAATTTATGATTTGCTTATGGTCAAATCTTAAAAATTTGTGGTCCTGAAACTTAATTTAGATTGCTGAAATTCCACTAGTTGAATCTAATGGGAGCAGCATTATCTGAATTTGACTTTAAATGGTGCTTCAGTGAAGCTGATAGCTAAGCATAATGCTAGCAGCAATTCAACATTTCATCTATATTGACTTTAAAATTATAGTACTTCAAACATGAAATTTATCTTGACTGATTTATGTAGATATTTTTAATATATTTAAATAGCAACGTTTATAATTTGTTTATCTTTAAATTACAATTAGGTTAAAAAATAGTTTGACCGTCTTAACCTTGTTGCGCCGACATAATTCGTATTTTTGTCATGGTGAAGACAAAGGTAGAAAGATATGTAATTGCATCATGGAAATGTTAGGTGAAAAATGTCAATTGATGCAATACTATTTCAATCATATGTTTTAAGAGAGTGAAACTGAAAAGTCTATTTATTTAAGTGAATTTCGGTTTCAAAAAAATTATTACACGTACTGTTGAATTATTGACTTAGAATTTTCACATTAATTAAGGATTAAGATAACAATTTGAGTCCATTACGTCTCAGCGTGACAAATAGAAAGCTTAGAATTTTGAAGTCTTATTGTATAAGTTTGGTTTAATTTTATAATATATTTAATTAATTAATTAATTTTGAACAAATTAAAATTTACATCATATGTATCAAATTATATTAATGAAAAATCCTGCCAATGTATAAATAACTTGTTTTCAAAAAAATTATAGATGACAAAATTTCTTAAAATTTTTCAACAAGATATTTCTAAAATTTCACCAATATACAAAGAGAATTTAAATAAAAAATACAACATAAAAGTTTTTATTTGTTATTAAAAAGAATCGAATAATGTTCAACATATAAAAATAAGGTAGTATTTGATATAATGTGATCATTCAAAAAATCATAATAATTTACGCATGATAATTAGATCGATAACCATTTAGTGATCTTATATGATGATGATCTTATATCATCGATAATGATTAAATCATAACCTTTGAGGATGATTTAATTTTTATCAAAAAGAGTAGAAAATTTTTATCATCGGGATAAGCACTATGTAAAATTAATTATAATCAATATTAATCATTTAATATGCGAATTAAAATTTTATTTTTTCAAAGTAACAAGTTTAAAAATGTTTTGTGTGATTTTTTTTTAAATTTTAAAATTTGTTTATAATCTTTTTATTTTAATATATTAGTTTATTTCTCATTAAATATTTGTTACATAATTTATATTATTAAAACTAGTTTACTAGCAATACATTTTTAATTTAATAATTTAATTATTTTTATTATGAAATAAATAAAACATTACTAATATTTTATATATAAATTATTATCTTTAAAAAATATAAAAATTATTAACATGTGTAATTATTATAATATGTATAGTTATTTTAATATTTTTAAATAAAATAATTTTTAATTTTTAATAATATCAAATATAATAATATTTAATTATTAAAAATTAATGATTATTACTCAAATAAAATGATTTCAAATCACGAGTGATAAAATTATTTTGGCATTTAATAATAAATCACTTCGGTGATTAAAATAATTATGGTGATATTAAAAATAATATCGAATGTTATTTAAAAAAATAATAGAAAAAATAATAAAATGATGATAAAAATATAAAAATAATACATTTACCTATCAATATTAATTTAACATCTATAAATAGTTCATTCATATATTTAAAGATTAGTTTGTAGAAATTGACCCCACGGGGGCCAAACACAAGAAAGAATAATGGGATTCTCTTTCTCAATTAATGAGAAATTTGTCTTTTTCTAAAATACTTTAAAAATTAACAACTTTGAAAATAACATTAACAATTAAAATAAACAACTTTGAAAATAACATTAATCAAATTAAAAAGAAAAAGGTCAATATTTTACATTTTGCAATTTCTTGTGGGTAGGTACCGAGCAGTGACAAGCGCGTATTATAGAGGTGCGCTAGGGGCAATGGTAGTGTACGACATCACCAAGCGACAGAGCTTTGATCACGTGGCCAGATGGGTCGAGGAGCTACGGGCCCACGCTGACAATTCCATCGTCATCATGCTGATTGGAAACAAGGCTGATCTAGTGGACCTCAGGGCGGTTCCAACTGAAGACGCTGTTGAGTTCGCAGAGGATCAGGGTTTATTTTTCGCCGAGACATCTGCTCTTAGCGGTGACAACGTAGATAAAGCATTTTTCAAGCTGCTAGAAGAAATTTACGGTGGCATTTGTAAAAAGACTTTGGAATGTGGGAATGGGAAATCCAACGGTGGTGGTCATGCCACGGCGTTAAAAGGATCGAAGATTGAGGTGATCGCCGGTTCTGATTTAGAAATAAGTGAGATGAAGAAATTATCTACATGCTCTTGTTAATTTAATTTTGCTTTCAAAGGCAGAGAACATTTGGTTTCTTTTCCTTTTCTTTTTTTTTTTTTTGTTTTGTGGTACTTTCTTCTTGGATTGTTCATTATAAATTTGAAACTAAATTATATATTTATGATATATCTGTGCTCAGAAAACCATGCATGCACCTTTAATCGTACGGTGACATTGTTAATTTATCAAGAACAAACTCTTTAAATTTTTGTTTATCATGTATGATCTAAATATTAGAAAAAGAAGTCAACATTAAATTATATTTGGAGCTTTGGTTCAAGATGTTAAAGATGTAGAAGTTTACGAAGGAGTGTTTCAGCTTGAAGCCTATAAATCCCCTGGACCAGGTGGTTTCAGTGGCTTCTTTTTTCAAAATTATTGGGAAACGGTGAAGGATGATGTAATAAAGGCAGTTAACACTGAAGGAACTCAATTACACAGAGATAGTACTAATTCCGAAGACAAAGACCCTTGAATCAGTATCTCATTTCAGACCAATTAGTCTTTGTAACTTTGCTTCCAAAGTCATTTCAATGGTGATGGTCAATAGACTGAAACCTTTTCTTAGTGGTGGCCTGATTAAACAGAACCAGGGTGCATTTATAGCAGATAGACAAATACATGACAATATCTTGGTTGCTCAGGAGGTCTTTCACCGTCTAAGGATAAAAAAGAATTAGCGGCTCAATTGAAGTGCTCAAAAGTGGAGGTGTTCATAATTTGGCTTGAATTGGATTAATTAATTGATTATTAAATTAATTTCAATCAATTAATGAAAATTATTGTTTAAAAATTTTAATTTTTGGTTAATCAAAATTTTAATTAAAATATAACATAATCTAAATATAAAATAAAAAATACATGAAATGAATAATTTAATTTTATAAATTGTTAGAGTTTTTAATATAATATTTTATTGGATAATTTTATTTAATTTATATAAAATATGAGAAATTAAAAGTTTAAAATATAATTTAAGTTAAATATATTTATTATTTAATTAATTAAAAAATTAATTAAATCAATCAAATTAAATTCAATCAATTAATTTTTAAAATTTATAAATTTAATTCGATTAATAAAAATAATATAATTCAATTAATTTAATTTTAAATAATTCGATATGAAATTAATCGAATATATCGAATTAACATGTATAATAAATGCCAAGGTAATTGTTGATGATATTGGATTGCCAAAACAGGACCAACGAAAGTTTCTTGAATTTGCAAGGATTTTAATAGCGAAATCAGATTTTGATCCAACGAATTATCAGCCTTGCTGCATAGGTGATTTGGGCTTTCGGGGTATATTAGTTCTTTCTTTGGTGTATTGTTTGATTCATCCTTTAATACAATTCTTTGGATTGGATGTAATTAATGGATGGGTAGGGCCTAGTTTGGTTATGGGCTTAACTTGCTTTTGTATTTCGAGTTCAAACTTGGCCCAAGCCGAAAGTACAAGCCATAGCCTTCCCCCAATTACACCTCTAGTTTCAATCAAATCACGTGAATTCCTAGTAACGAAATTAAAGAATGATGTTGGATTTTGTACTCATACAATTTAATTTACCTTTTAATTGGGTATTATGATACATCTAGGGAAAACTAGGAAGCCCAATAACATGAGCAAACTTTGCTTTTTCTCTTTAATATGCTCCATTATTGGTAAAAATAAAAATTTTCTTTTTAAAAGGTGTATCTAGCTGCCTATGTGTAAGGTGGATATAATTTTTAATGACTTCAATATAGAGTAATTAATACTCTTTTGAAGAAACCTAACTGGGAAAGGTTTGAAATGCTACTTAAAGAATATCTCTTTAGGGTACAAGCCAATCATAATGAGTTAGGTCTGGTTACTATAAACTAAACTAAAGTTATCGTTTTTAGGGACGCCTTTAAGATGAAAGAGAAAATGAAGCTAAAACTTCTGGCAAAAATATGAGCTATAGCATTTAATTCGTGATTGTGTGATTACCACTCAACGTGGTCATGCTCATTATTGAGGAAATTAATCATGGAACCCAGCAGCACTGTACAGTAGTGGGGATATGAATAGGGTGGCAAATGCAATTAGCTTTTTCACGACTAGCTAGGCAGGTGCATGCCTCTATCGCTCCAACGGCATACCAAATTGCAATCCTCATTCAAAGGCAATGAACATAGTTTCCTCAAAACAACAAGCTGGCTTGAATTAAATATAGCCCTTATAATTGTTCCTATTCCATACAAAAGAGGGAGAAAAATGTAGTGTGTTTGAGGAAATATTATGAACTTAGGCATGGGATCAGCAAATCAACAAAAGAGTGGTGGAAAAATGACATTAAACATTGGGTCAAAAGAAATCGAATCCGAATCGAAAACATTGAATAACTTTTTAATTACGGACGAGGACCTGGTGAAGAAAAAAGAGCTAGGATTTTAGGCCACAATTGACAGCTCACATAATGGTTGCTTTGGGCATTCATTCTACTGATATTATTCTAAGAAAATTATGTATAGATATTGCGAGTTTGATCAATATTTTGGTGCCTTGAAGTGAAATTGCAAGCTGGAATTGATGCGTTAATCCGAATAAATATTTATCGGAGTGCTCGAAATTGTGTTTCACCCTTGAAAAAAATCTACAAAATTATTTTCACATTGCATCGCATTGCAGAACCCAAATCACCATCAAACTGCCCCATAATAGCATTGCTTTATTCGGGCACGTGGGAATCTACGGAGCTTCTTATCTTAACAAAGTGCCTTTAGCACGGAATGATAGATTTGAAATAAGGAAAGTTTGACATTTGGACTGGATCCGATTCTTTTACAAGTTGCATATAAGTAGGGGTTCTAATTGGATTTGTTCATAAACGTAAAGTATAGCCGTATAGGAGAGTTTTATGTAATTTCGATGTGGATTTTCTAATTATGGTTCATCAAGATTTGAACATTGGATAATTGGAATGAAAAATGTTGCTGACAATATTGCTATTTTGAATATCATTTGTGGTGATTCTGGTGAGTAGTTACTCCAAGGACCAGAGACAAAACCCTGCCATATGGCATCAGATGGTCAGTCACATCATTGCCAATGATGAGTTAAGACTTAAGGGAGTAAAGAAAATTGCTAGCCATTCCTACACAAATGGTGAGAAAATGCAAACCCTGTTTAAGTGGTCCGTGGCTCTGGTCAACTTCGAAAGGGCTGTCCTGGATTTCTCTTTTTCAGATCCACCATGCCCCATCTCACAGTAAATCTTTTGCATCAATTTCCGCAATGTTCTCTCACTTTCGACTCGTTGTACATTAAAAAGGAAAAACAAAAAAAAAGGTGAAAATAACCAAATAAAATGCTTGAAGAAGATACCCTCTTTCCCAACCCATATTCCAGAGAAATGCTTGAACAGGCAACAACAACGTTACCGAAAGCTTGGAAGTGAATTGAATCATATTTTGTATAAACAAATTTGAAAAACACCCATCAATCTAATGCTATTATGTACATGTATAGAGGCAATTGCAAGCTACTACAAATGTTAACACATAACGATGTAAAAATAACAAAAATGGGCTAAGAAAATGTGCTCTTAATATTTTTAACAGAATCAAATTCTAATTCTGCTATTAAGGGAACAAATTCTAGCTGAAATCACTAAAACTACAAGATAAGCTTCCTATAAACTGTGATGGGAGTTAATCATCAGCCTTCCCTTTGGTCACTGTTAAGATCAAACGCCTGAGATTTTCTACAACTTTTCACCCTCAACAAACCGTACAATTTCTTAAACTCCTTCACTGCATTTGCACCTTCTTTACAAAAAACCCCGCTGGGTTCACCAATTTCCTCAACCGATTTCTTCGACCCCTTCTCCCACAACCGCCTTCCGGTTTTCCAGGCACCCCTCCCATCACCGTCCGTTTGCAAAGCATTAATAACCGATTTCAAAGCCCGGCTTGGCGAATTCCGGTTGGCGATCATTAGCTCCCCAATCTCAGCGGGGCTTAAACTCGACCCATTTTGGAAAATCTCCTCTACTTGCGGGAACAGCTTATGATCCTTGAGCCCTAGGTAACTATTGGCCAGCGTTTTAAAAGCTGTAAAATCACATAGAGGAAAATGTATATGAACATCAATCCTTCCCGGTCTAAGAATCGCTGGGTCAACCTGATCTTTGCCGTTCATTGTGAAGACCATGACTCTTTCTTCGCCGCAGCCGGAGCTTAAAATCCCATCCATAAAATTTAAAATGCCTGATAAACTCACGGCCGTTGATTTCTCTGACAAATACCGGTCAAGATCCTCGATGACAATCACGGATTTGGCTGTGCTTTGTAGCATGAGAAACTTAAGGTCGGAATCATCCGAGACTTTGGACAAATCAATGTCGTAAACATCGTAACTCAAGAAATTAGCCATAGCTGCGACAAAGCTTGATTTCCCAGTACCTGAAGGACCGTAAAGCAGATAGCTTCGTTTCCAAACACGACCCAGCCTATGATAATACTGTTTGGCTTTGAGGAAAGAGTCGAGATCAGATTTGACTTTGCTTTTAAGGTCGGATTCCATGGCTATCGTTTCAAACGTTGAAGGATGCGTGAAAGGAACAGATCTCCACCGTCCCTTTTGATCACCGTGATGATCAGCGACATTCATGTAAAGCTTCAAGTCCTTTTTCTCATCTAATTCATCGAAAACTGTGTGGATATGTTGGAGATAAGGCCGGAGAACTCTTCGTTTATCGGCTTTTCGAATCTTTAAGACCAGAGTTTTGTCTTCGTTAATCCAAAAAATCTTGGCACCCAAAAAGTCATCTTCTATTATTTGGTTAGGGTCGAGACGGAGAACGATTTCATTTGGTTTTTTGCCGGTGAAGAGGTTGGTGAAATCCGAATCTTCAATTGAAGTGAGAGAATTCAGATAAGCCAAAACTTTTTGATAAAGTAGGTTTCTTTGCATGCTTTCATTGAATTCTGGGACTTTGAAGAATTGGTAGACATGGAAACAATCTTCGATAAAACGCCACTTTTTCTTGACAATATAAATCAGCCCGGTTTTGATCAAAACAACCCGGAAAAGGAATAGGAAAAAGAAAGTTATGAACAAGAGAAAAAATGGGTTATAAAGAATCGTCATGGTTTTTCAGACGAAGAGAGAATAAACCTAAGGAGGAGGATTTAAAAGGGAAACTTTCTTCTTCCAGGAAAGAGAAACATGGTTTTTTCTGGGAAAAGGAAAGATGAGAAAACACGAATTTACGAAGATTGAAAGATAGGGGGAGCTTTTAAAGCACCGTGACAGGAAAGATTAGAGATAAGAGAGTGGACGTTATTAGGGTGACTGGGGAATTATAAAATGAGTAGACTTTTGGGCGAGAGACGACCACATGCCGGCAAGTTTGATGGGTCAAAACTAAAAAGCGCAGCAATTGGAGACAGGTGGTGTTTAGGGGAAAAAGAAGAAAGGTTTTCAATCAAATGTTTGATTAATCCTACTGTATTTGTGGGAATTTGGGGACGAGAGAAGAGGTTGGATTCAGGAATTGGAATTCACTGTTCGGATCTCCGTTAGACGTTAGATGTAGTTGCAGCCTAGTTGTCCGGAAAAACCAAAATTATAGTATATGAATTTATTGGGGGCCTAGCTTTATTTGATTAAGGTCCTAATAAGGAGTTGAGGTTGACTACATGCTTGGCTTCTCCCTACACGATTTGGCCACGGAAAAGAAAAAAAGAAAATATATATTGTATTGGAGAATATATCCTCTGCCCCATTGTTTTCGTGGCTTTGGTTTGTCAAAAAAGAAAAAAATCCGTGTGTGATGTAAGGATTTAATGATAATGATACACAATATTGGCATGATTCCTTTTAATTGTGATGAGGTATTTACATTAGATGCTTTTTGTGAATTGGTTTGAATATATCTTGCGAATCTATGCAAAAAATTTTCTTTTTTTATTATTATTTTTTAGCAATTTACATAATTGTTTAAATTTATTTTTTATAAAAAATCACACTCTAAAAAAAAAAAAAAACATGTGTTCAAATTAAAATTTATGTTGGACTCGATTTTGGGGTCTGGTGGGCAACATGAAATGTGAATAAATCTAAAACATTTTTATGTCATTTTGTTTTTCAGATATATAAAATATTATATACAATGAGAAATAACCTTTCTTATTTAAAAAAATTCACTTCATATCGCAAACAAAATTTTTAAAATGAAATCTCAATTATAGTCAAAAAGAATTTTCTTATTTTAATATATATATGTATAAACGATTTCATTTATATTAATGTAAGTGGTTTTTTTATTTTTGGATCAAAATTAAATTTATAATATCTTTTTTTTTTTTTGGTTTTTAAGGGGAGAGGTTGGGGTTGAATCCCAACTTTTGTATCTTCTTAAGACTTTCTTGATTACTATATTTAAAAATACCTACATTTAAAAATTTTAATCAAAGGGTCTAAAATTGAAATATACTTAGATTTGTACGAGTAGATCTTTACTTATATATACAATAGCAATAAAATATCGACAAAAAAGATATTTTAAAACTTTAAAATTTTAAATTCAACTCTCATTGGCTTCTATTGTTTAATTATATTATAATTTATTAATTAATTATTCAATAATTATAATTTAATTTTAATAAATAATTAATTATATAACTATAATACTTAATTATTAATATATTACTTAAGGGAAACCCCTTTAATTAAAAATATTTTGAAGACAAATATATTTAGTTAATCTATTTAAAAAAAATCTTATGCAAGATAATGAAAAATAATTTCTGAACATATTTTTCTGATCACATAACAAATAAAAGACGATGCTTAAAAAGTTGAAATGTTTTTTTTTTTTTCCTTTTTACCTTTTGAAATATTTTCTATCAATAACCTAAATAGTAAATACTTTGTTGCATTAATTTTTTATTAACTTTCTTGCCAAATGGGACTCATGTCTTATCTTAAGTATTGGATTAGTCCAAGAACAAAAGTAATTAAGCAGACCAGCTTAAGAAATCTAATTTTATGTATTTCTTTTTAGCCACGGAACTTTATGTTGAGTAATACAAATAAATTGGAGTACCGGGGATTCGAATATTCTTTATAATAATATTTCTTTCCATTACTCAAAATACAAGAAATTGATCATCATTTCTTGAAATTTCTCCATGTGGCTCGGTACATATAGGGATCAGTTAGTCTACTCAACTGCTTATCTAAATTTTTTTTTTTTTTAATATTGACAAAATTTTATTATTAAAATAATTGAAATTAAGGATCTGATATTAAAATTATTACTCATTTAATTTGACATATCATATATATATTTATTTATTTTACTTACTGAAACTTAAAAAAAAAAAAGGTTGAACTGTAAACGAACTGGCAATCTGGGGTCAAAGTATCAAGCCAAGAAGCAAAGTGCCATTAATTTCCACCGTTTAATGCAAAAATTTTCAAAGTAGAACGTGAAAGTGGCCAACCTAATTACCCTCTTTTTTATATTTTCTAAAGTTCATTACGTTGGACGTAATCAAACTTTATTAATGTTCTTTTCAATCAATACTTTTTTCTTACGCGGGATAGGAATGATTGTATTTTTTTGCACTTTTCTTTTAATAGTTTTCTTAATTCTTAATAAAAATATTTTTGTGGCTAAGATGACCCACGTTGTAAATTTTGATTATTTTTGTCTTTTGATCTTATTTTATGTATGAATTAGATTTGATAATTGTGTATTTATATTATGAAAATATTGATAATTTATGAATTATATTATGTTTTATTTTAAAATTACATATTAAAAATTTTGTTGACATAAAAAATATAAAATATTTTTTTATTAAATTTATATATAATTTTTGTTAAATTTAAATCTATATCACATATATATATATGTTTTCGTATTATTTTATTTTATATCACTGTTTTATGTTTTCAATTATTAAGTTTATATGAAATCATAAAATTTTGAGAAAAATGAGACTATGTTTGGTTTAAAAATTACTTTTATTTTTTATTTGCATTTCCTAAAAATAGTACTCTTCCTATCTTTTGTTTTCTTCGGTCATTTTTCTATTTGTTGATTTCTAAAAAATGTATTTGGTAAATGAAAACAAAAATTATTTTTAAAATTTACAAAATAAGAAAAAATAAATAATTATTAATTACATCTAATTAAAATATATAATATATATTTATAAGGAGATATCAAGTTACATAAAAAAGTTTTATAGCTTTTCACATCTTTTTTTAATAATTGATTTTAATAAATTTAAGGAATGAGTGATACAAGTAAAAAAAAAAATTTAATTTTATCTTTTTAATTTATTGAAATTAATAATTAAAAAAGTATAAAACTAAAAAAATTTATATTGATATAAATAGATATTTCCTCTGTATTTATTAATTAATAACTTTCAAAAGTATTCAAATATAGAGGCCAACTTCTTAAATTGCAAAATATAAATTAAAAAATTAATGAAAATGCGTCTTATTTTATTTTTCATTACCAAAAACATTTTAAGTTTTTGTTTTTATTATATTTTTTATTATCAAACACATTTTTACTCTTATTTTTTGTTTTTTTAAAAAATAAAAATAAAAAATTACATTGATTTTCCAAAATCAAACACCATTTGAATTTTGTTGCAGAAAAGACACTTTTACAAAAGAGTAACTTGATTAATAAATCTAAAAGGTTAAGCACTAAGCAATTTCCTTTTTCTTTTTTTTTTCGTCCAATCTTGAATTTCAAACTTGTTTATGCGAACGAAATTCACACGGCATTGCTTGATTGAAGAATCGAAATGAATTCTTTAACTTGATTGTTAAAATGTCAACCTCAAATTTAACTTTGCAAGCTCGAATTTCCTACTTTAATTGGCTGGTTTTGGACTTACTTGTGCTTTTTGTTGGGGCAAATACGGACAGCATTTTTATGCGTGCCGCCTAGTGCCCAATTATGCATGTAGCCTGCGGTTAATTAATCTTGACTAAGAGGAAAATGATAAATGGTTTGCTTTGTGGTTCGAGCTACCTATATTTTAAGAGGTAAGGCTGACATTAGACTTTAATGATGATGCTTTGACTAATTATTTGCATTAAGCCAAACCATGAAATAAGATCAATTTGAATTCGAGTTTTAAAAATTAATTAATTTATTTTTTACGAAATCACGAATGAAGTTTGAATTTCTCTATTTGTATTTTTTATATTTTTTTTAAGTTAAAATTTCATTTATAAAAATAATAAAATCAATCAACTAAGAAGCAGAAGAATAAAAGGGAAATAAACAGTACCAATTCATTTATACTAGCAATTACAATTGGAAATTGGAACTCTAAATTTTCTTTGATTAAATCCTTCATGATTACACAAAAAAAAAAACTAGTTTAATTTGATTAAGCTATAGTTAAAATCAACATTCCAACGGGGACCATGAGTAGCAACTTCATCAATCCAAACCAAACTTGCTTTAATTAAACTTTAATGAATTAATTTTTTCTTTTTTTTTTTCATTCTACATATTCATATTCTCTTTTTTTTTTTTTATAAAATAAAATTTGAGATCTCGGAGTGAAAATTACGAGTTTAATCCATAGAGATCAGTATGTATAAGATACACATGTTATTAATTAATATGAATGGAAAAATAATTACAACTATATTTAATGCAAAATGATTTCATATGCATCTGATATTAAACTTTTTCTTGATTGAAAGGAAACTAATTAATCTCTCGTTCCTCTCAACCCAAATAGAAATACTGTCAAAATCGTTAGCCTGAAAATATCCAAGTTGTGCTTGTATTTTATAGGCAAGTAGCTAACTTCAACAGTTCTAGTTGATGGGTATGTCTTTTGCTAAAAACATCTGACTCATAAATGTACTATTAGGCTTCACAAAAATTTTGTTGTCAGCAGAGATGATGGTGATGATCAACCATGAAAAATATGAACGTTGCATGCGACAGTGCAATGGATCCAAATCCCAAAACCTCTGGACTGAAATCATTGAAGCCTGTGACGTGATATCGACCAGTTATCATCGGTCGATCCCAATCCATGGGTTGCTTGGCTCTTTCACGGCCCACCTGCTCTCATCTCCATTTCACGCAGTCCAGTCCGCCCATGGGTTTTATGGGTTTATCGTATCTCAGTCATCAGCAAGACTCTTAATTTCTTCCATTATTGTTCTATTTTCCTCCAATTTATTGTTATTGTTGTATCGTTCCTGGTATAGTTTTTTTTTTTGGGTTTAATTGCTTCTTTGTCTTGTCTTGTGTAGCAATAGATGTAATTATGAACCAAACCAGCAGACTAGATGATATAATTCGAGATATTCTAAAACTGAAAGTGAAATATGAGGAGAATGGAAAGTTCTCAGATTAGAGATGGTTATGGCTACAAGTCACCTAATATCATCAAACAATTAGGTAGAGACAAAAGAAAATAACAAGGCGCCCTCATCAACACATGATATGATCGGTAACCATTCTGCAATGTGGCAATATTTTGAATGCCTTATTGCCAAAATAGAAATCTATTTAAATCTCAAGAACTCCATCAAATCAAGACAGCCAATTGTTTTTTTTATTTTTTATTTTTTGTGGGTAAACAAACATATTAGTTTAGAAAATTAGGTAGACAAGTGACAACCAAAAGATCAAGCTAAACTATTTTGATTTGGTGAGGCCAAGTCTCAAATTCCATTGGAAGTCTAAGACATTGGGTTACCTTCAGTGACTTGAAAGAAATCTGTGTTTTTCCTTAAAAATATTTTTTTATTGTAATTGAATTCATATCATTTTCAATAATTTTTAATGTAGAGTTAATATTATGAAAAATTATATGATTATTAATGATTAGTATTTATCACCTACAATAATCATTTTATATTTAAATAATGTTAAGTTAAATGCAATACATACTAAAATAATAACTAAATGCTCTTGCTAGTTTTTAACTAAAAGGTGGAAAGCTTGTTGCCTGCATTCATAGTGTAGCCATCATCGGTCAATATGAAAATAAAGTTTTACACACAAATTATGGGCCCAATCATATTATAGAACCCAGATATAAGCATTACCATGGTTTGATGTTTCAACCTCTCACATGCCCAAATTCTTTTAATTGTTTTGAGAATCTGTTAAAACATTTTCTCTGGAATTTCAAATTGCCCCGAGTGTTTAGCTGTATTGGAAAATTTTTTTTGAAGATATGTAAAACATTTTCGCTATAGATAGTTGAGAACAAATTTGAATCTTTGATTTTACCTTTGTAAATAATAAAGTAAGTTTCAAAAAGAAAAATGTTGGATGGAGGAAACAGTTCATAAAAGAACTAGTAACATGAAGAGATAAATATTAATTTAATTATATGAAATTTAAAAATTTAAAATTGAATACTTAAAATTCAAGTCCTTTAGATAATTTGGTTTTTTTGAATTAACACCGGGCTCTGGTTTCTTTTCTTTTTGGGCCTAAATTTCGATTTTTTATTTTTAAGGTGAAGTAAATTGTCTTTAAGTTGCCAAGAAAAATTAAATATAGAAAATTTGAACCAAGCTTTCCATTAATATGATTTCCTGAGCTTCTAGTTATCAGCCTAATAGTGTCTGAATCTGACACACGTTTGTCAAGTGAAGTGCAGCCCAACGGTAGAGGGCTCCGGTGTTGTTACTGATCCTGGTTGGATCTCGGCCTAAAATGTAAACTGCTGGGGCCCATCTTACAAGCAAGTCATAGCAAACCACGTCACTGCAAAAGACACCTTGAAATCTCTTGTTCCTTATCTTTTCTTAGATTGATCTGTATGCCCTCTGCCCTTTTTCTCTCTGCTCCCCTGAAGACAGAGAGCGCATGGCAGCCACACTCAGCCTACTGAAATTCCCGATTGTACCGCAAAAGACACACCATCCACAATCCAAACTGCCAGTTCTTTCAAAACCATCAAAGCATATTATCTCCAATGAGTCAATTAACCCTCCAAAACTCATCACTGAAACCATTAATCACTTAAAATCAGCTTCTCTTCCCCTTACAACGCTTGCATTGCCCTTCTTCTTAGGTACAAAGGTAAATACGATACTTCTTCAACTTCATTCTTTGTTTTGGATTTTGGAGCACAATCTATTCATTCTTTGTTTTTTTCTTTTTTTTGGAGGTAATTTAATGTGATTTTCCAACGAATAACAGGAGGCTCTTGCTGTTAATGGAGAGTTTGGGATTTTGGAGGGTAGAAGTTTTGCACTTATACACCCCATTGTCATGGGTAGTTTGTTCTTTTACACTTTGTGGGCTGGGTACTTGGGTTGGCAATGGAGGCGAGTCAGGACCGTCCAGACCGAGATTAATGAGCTCAAGAAACAAGTGAAGCCCAATCCAGTAACCCCGGAAGGGAAACCAGTGGAAGCAGCTCCATCTTCCGTGGAATTCAAGATTCAGCAGCTCACTGAGGTTTGCTATAGGTTTGCTATATACAACAAAATTTTTATATAGTTTTAACTTGAAAATCCCAATATTTGAGCACCAAGTCAAGATTTTATCTCCCACTTCTGTCACTGAATCCTAACGGTAGTGCTGTGTGATATATAATGATTTCTACTTAGACTTTAAATGCAAATTTCAAATGATATTATCAAGCATCCAACTCAAAAGGCTAAAACCAATTGGACACGCTTAACTTGAATACAAGGTCAACATAAACTCTGAACTTTACTGGTATGGGATAACTCTACTTAACGGAAATAACAAAATTCTTTTGGTGAAAATGTATCATAGCTATGTGGTTTAACTCCTTAGACCTTATATGTGATTACTAGCTAATTACTTTAACTTGTTTCATGTTGAGATGCTTGCTATTCTATGTGGTTTCTGTGCAAAGTCCTGAAACTATGTGATCATTTGCAATTTAACTTCAGGAGAGGAAGGAGTTGCTGAAAGGGTCTTACAAGGATAGACACTTCAATGCAGGATCCATACTGCTAGCATTTGGGGTTCTTGAGTCTGTTGGTGGAGGTGTGAATACATGGTTTAGGACAGGAAAGCTCTTCCCAGGCCCCCATTTGTTTGCCGGAGCAGGTACTTTTTGAATTCTAGGTTCCTTTTACAAAATGGTGTAATCACAAACTGGAATGCAAGATTTAGGTTGCTGACATCAACTAGTTTGAAGTGAGTAGGAAATGACTCCACCTTGCTGGCTTGGTGTTTGTTTTACAGCCATTACAGTGCTATGGGCTGCGGCTGCAGCGCTTGTACCATCAATGCAGAAAGGGAGTGAGACTGCAAGGAGCCTTCACATTGCATTGAATGCAATAAATGTTACACTTTTTATTTGGCAAATCCCCACTGGTATAGATATAGTTTTCAAAGTTTTTGAATTTACTAAATGGCCTTGAAGTGCAGACCTTGCAAGACTGACCTCTCTTGCCTGTTAGTATGTTTATTTTCTTTGCTTAGGACGTCGTTATCATCAACAATTTCAGTTTTCTTCTCTGCTTCTGTCTTTCTCCGTTGTGTGATACCAGCAAGTAACTTTGTAATTAAGCATATAATGCATTATGTCAGAGCAATTATGATTCTTGTGCTTTGATCGGTAACCAATCAATTGTGCTTCATTCCTCAGCCAATTGCGTTTTATATTGAGCTTGGCATGCATTTCAAGGAATCAATACCAGTATGCTTATTTGGTACTTCGGTTCCTTCTAGGCACCTCATCACGTGGCTCAAATGCTCAAATGCACAGAGAAATAGCACGAGTCTATATCGAGAATTCATAAATGAACAAAATCTTTTGCCCAAGCTGTTTTTGTTTGCAGGCCCTATAGAAATAGGAGAGAGGGTTGACAGTTAACCTGCACGGTATATGGCTATATGCATTTTTCAAAGGGGATACAGGGGTTTTAGCATTAGTAGTATTACTAGAGCACCACTACTCCTTAATCTACTTTATGGTAAAGATATCATAAATAATTCATTATTTATAGATGACAAAAGACTCAACTTTGTAAAGCTTGTAGTGTTTCATCTGAAAGTACTGATTCCTGCATATCAAAGTCTATGAATTGAATATTTGTAACAAAAGAGATGATATGATTTCATTAGTAAATGCTACGTTTCATCTTTGACAGCTGATTAATTTAAAAAAAAAAAAAAGGAAAAGTAAAAGAGGTTCATATTCCAAGGTCCCACCTCAGGAATTCGTTTATTTTCTCTTGCAACAATGGGTAGTGGAAACGATGGTTTTGTTGCAATCAACAGCTAAATAACAGCAATTCTCTAATGTGCTTGGTTACCAAGTCAAGTAATTAGATAGAGTAAATATTCTTTATTCATATAAAGCAACCCTATCCGTACGTTAAAGACACAGGAAGATCCAAAAATTAAAAAGTTAAAAAAGAGAGCTAAACTAGTAGTAGCGCATAGCATCAAAATCTGTTCTGTCCAGTCTCAGCAAGCAAAGTCTGAAGGAAGAAACAGACAGCAAACGGCATCAACTTTCTCTAGCAAGAATCTATGTCACGGTTGAGTGAATTCTAAGCGGCTCATGAGGAATCGTTGAAGAAGCTTTTGTGCTGTGAATGGTTAAGAATTTATATACATATGTCAGTGTAGCCATCATAAGCACAGGCTGAAAATGCCACCCAGCTCATTCATGCAAAAGGAACGGTTGTAGTGGTTATGGGAGAAGGATAGCAGCCATTAGACGCAATACTACTTTGATTAATGCATAAGAAATTAAGAATATTATACAAATTAGTGGAGCTATTTCAATTTGCAAAGGAGAAACTTTTAATATAAAAAGTAAGGAGCACTTTTCCTTAAAAATGTTTTCGTTACAGATTAATAATCTTTCATGAATTCCACAACCCTTATTCAAAGAATATTTTCCATTTCAGCAAAGAATGGAATTAAGATTGCCGTGTTGGATGAGCAATTGAAAATGGTCCAATCCAATCAGATTGGTTGGCCAAGGATTCCAAAATTATACGGACAAGTTCTTTTATTCTGGGCTCTGGTTAAATGTTCATAAAATGACTTGTAGAAACACTGCAAAGAAATTCTTATTGCACGCTGTTAACGTGGAAATGCGATCAGTTCTGTTTTAATTGAATCTGATTTACAAAACAAGGCGTCGGTAGTGAAACAGAACTTTTAATTTCTATGAAACCCCAGCCAGACAGTAAATTTTGTCTAAACCAGGCTAGAGAAAAGAAGAAAAATCTTGTAAATTACTCCATTTGATGCCTGTCGTAAGATGTAACTTTTGTCAGCTGTTCAAGTATAGTATTAGTTGCCACCGGTTGGATGCCTTTCTTTCTGTGGTTTATGGCTTGGGCGTTTTCCTTATGGGATCTTTTCCTTTTTTTATTCTTTTTTCCCCCCTAATTCCTGTTTGTAGTTGAACCTGGATTACTATATAAACACATCCTGGTAGCCATTTATGCCTGTGTCCATTCTTTCGTCATTTCTAGTACATTTAGTTTTTAGCCTTTGATCTTTAAATCTTTTCAAACTTCTCCCATTATGTCAAACCAACCGGCACCAACTCGTCCCTGGTTTCGTTTAGCATCCATAGCAAGGCCAGCACCCCAAGCACCTACTCCAACCCCTGAACCCGTTCCAGCCCCGCCACGAGCAACCACTGTTCGACCTGCGTTCAGGCCTGCAGTACAGGCTCAGCCTCCACCAACTCAACCTCAAGCACCCACCGCTGCTCCACCACTTGCGGGTGGTGTTTCTTCGGTTCCAACATCCCCTGTTGCTGTTGGTAGAGTTTCTCAGCCGACTTCCCCTTCTGATAAAAGAACTACAAGGTCCCCAGGGAAGAACGGGCCAACTACTTCTCCACTGATAGCAGCAATCACTGCGTCAGTGCCAACTTCTCCAGCCAAGCCAGTGGCAACTACTGCCTCTGTGCCAACTTCTCCAGCCAAGCCAGTGGCAACTACCGCCTCTGTACCAACTTCTCCAGCCAAGCCACTGGCAACAACCGCCTCTGTACCAACTTCTCCAGCCAAGCCACTGGCAACAACCGCCTCTGTACCAACTTCTCCAGCCAAGACAGTTCCAACTACAACATCAGTGACACGTTCCCCAACCCAAAAACCTGCCTCCTCCGTAACGACCACGACTCGTGAGCCTACCCCTATAGAAGCAACAACCACATTTCTCAAACCAGCCATACAATCTCCAATTCAATCACCAAAGATCAAACCACCAACTGCTCCGCCACCTTCTCCTTTAACTCTCCCACCTCCCCAGTTGAAAGCTCAAGCTGAGCTTGAACCCAAGATCCCTGTTGAGGCAGAACAAAAGACCGTGCTCATTCAAAAGACGATTGACAAGCCCAAGGGATGGCTATTTGGTGCCTCTCAAAAGGATCTTGGTGACACTCGAAGGCCTGGCATTCCGCTGAATGGACAGAAAGAACCGTCGAAGGATGGTGAGAAGAAGGAGAAAGATCATGGCAAGAAGTTTTCTTCAGATTCTGAGGATGGCGGCATGAGGGTCATAACAATTGCTGGTGAAAACAAAGGTGCTTTCATGGAATTAATTAAATCACCCCAGAAAAATGGCTTTCAGGGAAGTCCTCATCGTCTCCAAAAGAAGGTCAATTCTTCTAAAACAGGCAGCGATGGCAGTGACTACCAAAGCTACAGCAGCGGTGAGGAAGGTGATCGCAAGATGAAGGACAAGAGCAAGAGCAAGAGCAACACATCAAAGACAACGCCCATGAACGCATACATGAACAGCAATGTGCAAGGCGTTAATAACTCAATTGTCTACAATTCTTCATGCACTCACCATGACCCTGGTGTGCACCTTTCTCTCCACAGAAAACCAACCGGTGGCGGATTCCATGTCAAGGAACGCACCAATGGCTACAACAGCTAGAAGAAAAATAAGCAAAACATCAAAGGCGTTTTAATTACTTTCGTTTGTTTGGATTAATTTAGGCTACAGTACTTATGTTTTTGAGAATAAACTAATAATAATATATGAGTTATATGAGTGATGGCTAAAGGGCACATGGATTCGGATTCTTCAATACCACTTTTTTGTGGTGCCTAATTGAAGACAGTCCATGTCCAGGCCCTTTTCCATTGAGAATTATGAGTATATATGCTAAACTCTGAGTGTAATAAAAGTGGAGGATAAAACCTTTATGTTTGCAATTCACAATTGGCCTTACATGTATCCTTTTTAAACTTTTCGCCAACTGCCAATATTCCAATTTTACACGCTGTTAACCCCAGTTTCTGTTTTTTGTACCACAATTTCCTTTGAAATTACTGTACATTCAAGACGATGACAAAGACATTTCAGCTTTTTATACTCGGTATTATTACCTTATGTTATGCGAAGGGATCTAGATTCTAGAGGACCATCCATGAAACTTGCTCCGGAAAAAAAAAAAAAAAACAAAAGGGAAAGATGGATAATACTTCTCATATTCACCAATCTGATTAAGTTCCAGGAATGCTTTTCTAGGGCTTCTTATTTTGCCATGCCTTTGCTGATCTCCCCTTCTTCCAATTGGATGAGAGGGATTTTGTGCGCGTCCGAATATTTCAAGTCTCAATACAATCAGCTCAATGCCGATCGATTGTCTAAGTAAATCATTTAAATATATGATTTGATTAGTATAGTCCAAATGAACGGCTTAGTTTATCCAAAAAAAAGAAAAAAAGCTGAACGGCTTTTGAAATAAGTGCAGAATTGCATATCTGCCAACGTTTGACAAAATTTCTTTGTATATATACAATTTATAAGTATTCGATTTATCAATGGGATGGAATGGAGAGCATTCGAAAGAGAGAATTATTCCATACATTCGCATTCAAGTGACAATTGTTTTACGCATAGATTTCCTTTTGTGAATGTGTCAAATACTTTCAATTAATAGAAAAGGTTGACACATTAAATTAAGGAAGTCAAAGCATCCTTTGCCAACACTGGAGTTTGATGTCAATTTTTTCCGTACTCTGTTTGAGAGCTGGGACAAATTGAGACTTTTTTCTTTTAAGAATCTTGATTCCTAACCCAGAGTAAGGATCTTAATTTTACTGCCCAAGGTGACTTCTATTGACTCTAACTAATTTCAGAAGTTGTTTAGGTTTGGGTGCTTCTTTGGGCCTCGAAATCCAGCTTCAAAGAGTAACGTTTTGCCTTATGGACTTTACTCTTTAGCATGAGCTAACCAGGTTGAGCCCAAAAGATTTTGTATCAAATTTGGGTTTTCGCTGGCTCTTTTTTTTTTTTTTTTAATCTCAATCCATCATTTCCATTTCCTGCCCTTTTAATCTTCTTCTTTTTAATGGAAAAAGCCTCTTTCATCTTTTCCAAGCAAGGAAAAAAATGAAAATATCCTCATCAGAGCTTATAAGGTTGCTACATAGAAATGATATTTGCCTCAATATTTTTGTCCAGCTACTTGCTTATGCGAATTGATAATTATTTGTCGGTTCGAAATTCAAAATATTCCTAAATTTGTAAGTTCACTTAAAAAGAATTTATTCAACAAACATTTATTACCTCACACGATACAAATAACTAAGATAGAAACATTGAGGTGCTAAAAGTAGATTTTTTCAAGAAAAAAATAAAATTTTGGTGATAGAACTGATTAGAAGTGCAGATACAAACATGATTTGGGTAGGACATATGCAAATGTTTCTTAAAAAGATCACAAACATGCTACTTCTATAATATTCATTGATTATTCAACTCCATCTTCAGGTTTGCATATCAATATAGTGCTATTAAAATATTGCAAAAGATGAATTATTAGAGAATCAACAATAATTGCTCTTTCTTCGTCAATTTCCCATTGATTCATCAATGGAATGAAATTCCGTAGACTGCGTGATTCAACGAACCATTTGGAGATGGAGTGGGTTCAAACAGGTAGAAGCTAGGAAAGGAATTAATAGTAGTTCGTGAACCAACCAACCCACGTGTCTAAGGAAAAAAAAAAAAACATGAAATCGACCCAATTCCCAATAGTATACATTGGCTCGTCAGGAAGAACTTAATTAGAAAGAGTTCCTGAATCCAACCAATTAACTCACGTGTCAATGGAAAATCAAGAAAAATTGAACCAATAAGCAATATGATCTTCTCATCATTTGTATTTTGTCAAATAATCCTAGCTACTAACGACGGTTATTCTGGCCTGATTGCTAAGTTGAATCATCAGTTGCCCATGTTGGAATGGTTTCTCATTCATGGCTTGGGGAGAGGACAATGCCCCAAGCAAAACGGTGAAAACACCACCACGCTGTCCCCCCACTCTTTAAAATTTTTTTGTGTTGGAATGTGTGGATCCTACAACAGTCTCTAAGCAAAAATGAGCCAATGGGATGATTATTTGATCCAGCAGATGTGGCCTAGGACTAGCTAATTCTATCAATCTTTAAAGTGGGTCTTCGAGTGCATGTGCATTAGATAACAGATATGCTATCTGTTGACAGTGCAAGCTCTCAGGAATTTCTGGTCCTCATTAATTCTTAAAGCTGTATGGCGACCTATAATAATAAAGCAAACGATTCCGGTGGAAAAGGAAAATAAAGAAGAGCAGACATGATTGTGCCATTTGATCTCCAATAATGAAAATATGTTTTCACGGCTCAATTTTTTTCTCCTGGAAGTGAACTTCTCAGGAGTACTTCACTATATATAAAGGGAAAGCTGCTGAGCAACTGGGCACGGTTTTTTTTTCCACTCCTATTATTTTTTCATTGTCTCTTTTCTTTTAAAGCGAGGAAATACTTTTCCACGCTAAGGATGGATGCCTATCATACTGAATAAGAGAAAAAAAAAAAAAAAAACAATTGTGAGAGAAAGAGACCAGCTACAGATCAATAGTTAAAAGACAAAGAATTTTTATCACTTACTCCTATCTGTTTTTCCTTGTTTTTTAGTTGCCAATCTTTAGACATTGAAACCAAGAAAAACAAAATCAGCTGTTCATCAATGGTGATACGCATGAAAAAATGAAGTTTGTTAAAGTGATATTGACAATTAAAGTAAAACTAGCAGGTGGAAACCATCAGTACAAAAGCAATGTGGATGTAGTAAATTACTTCTTGTCCGTCGCTTTTACTCTGCCCAAGTTTTGCTTTTGTTGCGAACCGAAAGAAGGTCTGGTTGAAATCAGGATCGAGGGACCGAAGGTGACCCACCAGGCTAGATAGATGCTTATGTCCCTGCATTTTTGAATCAGGTTTCTTTAACAAGAATCCAAAGCATCGGCTGTGGGAGGTGGGAGGTGGGAGGTGAAAGGCAGCAACAAGACCCAGAAGGCCTACATTCCACGGTCGCCACCTTTTATTAGTGTTAGGCTTTTAGGTTTTTGACATAAGCAGACAAGTTGCAAACGGTCAAATGACAGTACCAAGGATGAATTCCACGGTTCTGTTTTTTTTCCCACCCTTTTTGAACACCTTTTCTTTTTCCAGCTAATTAATTAAACTTTCATTTTCAAAGAACTTTCTGCTTGTGAATGTCTGATTTGCCATTAGGGAACCCAGCTAGTTTTATAGCTAGCTTTGAACTCATCCAGGTGTTCACGATAAGAATGCAAAGGTATTTAAAGTGAAAAAGAACTATGCTCTAATCCAAATGAAAATGTTCAATTTTGGTGCGATTATTTGGTGGAGTCACCGTAACTATTTCATCGCATACCCAAAGCCTAGATCAGCTCTTGTTTCCAAGGGGTTCCAATATTGCAAGATCCCAAGACTTAGACATTATTGATAATTAGGGCTGTGAATAATTCTCTCAGGGCATAAAGCTTAACTGTCTCTTAAGAATTCCAAGGAATAAACAAAATGAGCAACTTAATTTGCTGGCAATTGGAGGCTATCTGATAACATTTTAGTTCATTAGTTTCTTCCAATTCTAAGTTCTAACTAAAATATATTATAGAATTCATTTGTGTAATTAATGTTCTCACTAAGTGTTGTATTTAGAGCTTCAAATCTTTAAAATGATTTCAATTGTTAGATTGTGAACTTACCATTAAATATAAATTAAATGAATTACAATCATTTTTTTTATTTAAGTGTGATTGACTAACTAACTAAATTTATCTCATTTAAAGAGAAATTTCAAAATTAACTTAGATATATTTAAATAGTAGATTTTAGTTTACAAAATTAGATTTTAGATTTAGAAGTACGGTTACGCGAAAAAAAATTATAGCATTCTCACAACACCTATCAAAAGATGGTACTGATTTGATTTCAAGTTATTCAAGCCTTTAAAAATATTTATAATTTTACCAAATGATTTAATTATTAAAAATTGATTCTAAAATTACTCAAATAGTTTGGTAATAATTTAAGATAATTTTCTCACCTTAGAAGTATTCACGAAGAATAGTGTCCCACTCTGAAGAGGTTCTATCGTCGTATTCATTTAATTTTTTTTGTTGTAAAAAAAAACTTTGATTTGTGATAATAATTTATTTTAAAAAATTCCTTTAATATGTTAGTAAAATTTTTTGTCAAAAATTATAGTCCAATATGTTGGTCGAATTGAAAATTTATTTGTTTGTGAAAATAATTTATTTTCAAAAATATATTCTAATATGTTGATAAAATTTTTTGTCAAAAATTATTCTTAGTAGGATTGAAAATTTATTTGTTCAAGAAAATTCATTAAGTTCTCATATAGTTTAATAAGACTTAATTCAATATTTAAATCCTCTAATAGTTTGATAGGATTGAAAATTTATTTTTTGAAATTTTTTTTTAATTAAAAATAAAATAAACAAAAATTATCATGTAAATTAATATTATATCATGCAATAATAACAAACTATCATGCATTAAAATTAATTATCATGCAATAATAGTAATTATCATTCAATTAAATATAATAATGTAATTATACAAAATATATTTAATAGATCATACAATAAATATGAAAACATGCAATGAGATATAAAAAAATGCAAGAATAAACTATTTTTTTCTTTTTCTTTTCTCAAAACATTAATTCAAATAATCATAATAAATATTAAAATATAAATATAAAAATAATATATATAAAAAAAGATAAAATAAGATAAAACAATAAAATAAAAAACAAACAAAAAAATCATAGCAAAAAAAAAACAAAAAAAAAGGAAAAGAAAAATCTGTGAAACGGGCGGGTTGGAGTCAGGTCGATGCACGGGTTGCCACGGGTTCACGATGGTCAGCTTCTTTACCTAAAACGACGCCATGTTGATCTTTATATAAAAGCTAAAAAATCATCTTTTTCCTTAGAATATCCTAATCCATTCTCTCTCTAGCTAAATTCCCTTTGACCTCTCTCTAACTTTTCAATATAAATCCTAAAAACCCCAAAAACATGGCTAGAAATTTTAGATTCTTGTGTTGAAAACTTCAAACGACTATCGAAATATACAAATTTCCCAGAAACAGTTCACAAACCCAAAAAATGTTCATCTTGGTACCCCTTCGACCACTATGAAAATCATTGAAAAATTTAAAGCTTCAACCGGAATATTCAATAAAATCCAGAAAAACTAGAGCTTTGAATCCAAACCCAGAAAATCATATTAAATTCCAAAAATTCAAGCTTGAAATTCCAATCAAAACTAAAAATCATTGGCCTAGAATCAAATCAATTTTCCCAAATCCCAACAACTCTGAATAATTCTAAAATCAAATCACAAATCCTAGAATCTAAACCCAAAACTAAACTTTTAGAAACTAATTATCAGGACACTAAGAACACAAACCCAGAATTCAGATAAAAAATTAATCCCAAAATTAAAAATAACTAAACCTAGAAACTAAAACCACAAAATCCCAAAAAAATCCAAAAAGCTATCATTCTTGGAATTTATTTATTGTTCCTCCTTTCTTATTGCTCCTGATTGTTTTCTTATTAGGATTATTTGTGTCTATGTCCAATTCTTTTATAAGGATTCAGTTCCTTTTAATTTAGGAAAATAAATCAATTGTGTGATTTTGTTTTATTAATCTGAATTAATTTTATTTTCCTCTGACTTTTCATTTTCATTAAAGATTGGGATCCTCAATAATCAAATTCCAAAATGCTGACCTTTTTTTTCCGGTTTCCATACTTTTGACTCTTTTTAAGCCAAAATAAATCCAAAAATTAATATTAATATTAAAATCAAATTATAATTAAAAATTTTGGATTTTTATTTTATTAGGCATAAAGTTTCCTAATCTAGCCCATTTTATGGTCGAAACTTGTTTTAGATTTCAAAAAATTTTTCGGACTAAATGAGATGTCTATATTAATATTAACAAATTCTCTTTTTAACTAAGTCTTTGTAAATAAATAGAAGGTGACCATTGACCAAATGTCAAAATGATGGTCATCTATCCTACATAAGTTTTTCTTGTCAATTTACTGGAAATTTTAATAATATAATAACAAAACTTTTAATATTCAAGATCTAAATGAAACAATTCAAAGGCTACAACAAAGAAGCCGAATGAAAACTTTAAGTATTAAACATTTTAATCTGAACCTCCATATTACTTTACAATTTTTTTGTTGGGTAAATGGAATTTTAATCCACTATTAAGTGGAAAATAAATTATGTTTTTTTGTCTATACTAATATTAAAGTGTCTGAATTGATGTTGCAAATCAAGTAAGTAGGAGAAATTACTTAAAATTTAAATAAAAGATAACAATAAATGAAATTCAAGGTAACTACATCTTTTTAAATTCTAAAACAAAATTTTTTTAGTCATATGCATTGAAAAAAAATACCCACTCATCCTTAACTTTTTTCTTTTTTTAAAAACACAGTTTTTTTTTTTTTCACTCACGGAGTGGATTAATTGTCAAATCTGGTACCTATTTAAACTAAAAATTTCTGCTTCTGATAAATATTTACATGCAATTTAGGGTTGGAAGGCGTTCGGGTAGTTTGTTAGTCCGTGTGAATGGTGGAGTGATCTTTTTTCTCGTGTTGGTTGTCAGTATGAAAACATCACATACATATATATATATATATGTATGTATGTATGTATATATGTATGAATTGAAATAGAAATTGAAACTGGATAAACAAATCCAAATTAAATGGAAAACAGGTAAGCTTTCGATTTATAACAAGAAAAAAGAAGAAGAAAAAAAGGCAGTACCACAATTCCACTATCTATGGAAAGTTATTCTGAAATCTTACAACTCATTTAACTTCCATGTGAGAAAAGAAAAAGAAAGCCCTAATCTCACTATCCTTGGAACCTTTTCTTTTTTTTAATGATTTTAATAATAATAAAAAAAACTCTATGGATGGCCATATATATATTCTGCATGCATGAAAAATTAAAATGGGGTCAATTTTTTTACATTTTATGTATATAAATTGATAGTATGTTAATGTTATTTTTTGCCAATAACAGTATATTAATGTTATAGCCACATTTTTTTTTTTTTATAAAAGAGGGCCTCACAGCTTAAGAATAGAAAAAAAAAGGTTGGTGGTATTAAAATTTAAAATTTACACCTATCCATTGAATGCCATTTTAATAAGGTGATTATAAAAATCAATTGAATTAAAATTTGAAATCAATACAGGCACACTTTACTTTTAAATTCTAATAAAAAGAGGTGGTCTTAATAAAGTTGGTATTTCAATTTTAGAATTGTTAAAGGTATTACTAATTCTTTTAACAGGGTATGAAACTTTAGGCAACAAAAATAAAAAATAAACTCTTCTTAAAGTATGGAATGAAAATTAAATAAGTTCAAGTAAGAGATGGAATTTTTACATTTTATAAGAATCAGAAACGTATAAATTAATGTTTGAAGGTTGGTGGGCAAATACCAATCCAGATGACGCACCAAATTAAGCATGGGTGAGTTAGACCAACTTTGAATTAAACAGTATCATTTTCAGCCAAGAGTAAAGAATTCAGGATCTTAGAATTTACATACGTAACGAATATTAGACCTAAACACCAAATAGCGAAAAGGAACACATAAATTTTGAGTGCATTAGTGTTTGTAATTTCAAGAACTGTTAAGACACCGTAGCTAGCACTTATAATTAGCCTTTCTATGCCTAAAAAAAAACAAAAACTCCTACTGCATATATATATATATATATATTATATGCACATAAAAATTCTCAATGATGAATAATAATATCTAATTCTCATCATATCATATCATATAGACACAACTAAGTGAAAAGAAAGGGCAAAAATTAGGTATGACTTAGGTGAGGGAACTAGTCCTTCACTGCCGATCTATTGCTTCCTACTGCATTTTTCTGTATTTTCAAAAAAATAGATATGAAACTAGCCAAATGCAAGAGAGAGGTAGCTAGAGTACTGGAGAAAAAGAGAGTGAAGGAGGTGCACATCATTTCGAGAATTTCGCCACATCGATAGATCAAGCCAGAAAGACCCAACATAGTAACATGCCTTGCACCCTCAAAACATGCCTAGTTTCCAGTCCCCACTTCTTTCGCCACGTGGAGCCACCTAACTCCCTAACCCACCGGCCCCTTTGCTTTTTTTTTTTCTTTTTCCTTCGGTTCCTCTACATCATAAACACAGACATTCCCCCACCCCCCCTCACTACATTCGCTTGACACTTTGGCCATTGTACTGGTTTTTCTCACCAATCTAAAGCTTGGCTGAGAAAATGAAGGTAATTACAACATACCTATAAATTTGTTACTACTGCTTTTCAAGTAAGTAGAACTAAAACTTTGATTTCCTTTCTAATGGTTTCCTCTGGATTTTCGTGTTTGATGTTAACTTCTTTAATAGATCTTCAACTGGGTGCAGAGGAGGTTCCATCATAACGTCCTCAAAGGTTTCATTTCTTCGTAACATTTTTTTTTTCGTTAATTTTTCTAATTAACTTGATAAAATTTTCTTTTGGGAAATTTAAGAGTGTGACAAATTTCCATTCTACGGTGTGCATTCTATAAAATTGCTATATTGTAACGGCCTAACTTTGTATATATATATATATATTATATACATATATATATATATATATATCTTCTTTTGAGTATCTTGTTTATTTTTATATTATAATACTAGCAATATATTCTCTCTAGAACAGTGTTTTTCAATGGAGATTCGATGGTCAGGATAAAACTTCCTGTTTTGTGCGCGCAGATGGGCTGGCTCGAAATGTTAAGAAGACTGATTCCATTGCAATTGACACAAACACAAAAGCTTTACTCGAACAAGTAGCACTGGTTGACGTGCTTGATGGTTGGCGTGACGGTATTCTAACAATTGGTACCTTTGGGTTTGATCCTTTGAAATCCTTCGGTGAACAAAAAGACTACTTAGCCTTGGAAAGCGACGATGACGAAGAAGAGGGAGAAGCGGGGGAAGAACGGTACTCTGTTAACAATGATGATGAAGAAGAAGATGACGACGACGATTATGATAATAATAATAATAATAATATTGATGAAGAAGTGAACCCACTGATGTTCAGCACTTTCGACCACAGCTTCGAGAACGACGTTGAATCAAATGTTAATCACGCGAAATATGGAAAACCTGACATGATAATGATGTTTGATGGTGTTGCGGGGTCTACTGATCATGAAATTAAGTTTGACTTGGATGCCACTGAGGGCCATTCTGGAAAGCTAAGAAGAAGAACAACACTGGCAGACCTCTTCTCTGAGGACTCTGAAATGAAAAAGAAGCCGAGCCCTCTTGACCTGAAGTCAAATTATTGCAAAAAGGCATCTGTTCGTACAAAGAACGGGCTTTCTTTTGCAAAGAAACTCATTCCTCAAGTTGGAGAGGATTCTCGTCCCATCAAAATGCTACACCAAGTGAGTACTAAAAAGTTCGGCTTCTTTTCATGATAATCACACACCTATGTATTAATTTCATTTTAACGAAGGTTAAAGTTGGATTAAGATGTAAAATTAAGTACTCTGCGTAGTAAAAAAGGACAAATAAAGTTTGAATTCAATAATTATTTGCTACAAAAAAGGTGGTTATGAAACTGACCAATTTTCATACCTTTTTATAACGAAGCGCAAATATTGAGCAGAATTTAGTTGATTGAACTAATTTATGTGATTATTATTAGATGATGAGGAGGATGTTGAAAAGGAAGATCCATCCAGAGCTTGAAGGCAAGGGCAATAAATTGGACGGCCAGTGCAAGCCAAATGTAATCAATGTTCTTGGAAGCAAGAAACATGAAGCCGGTGAATCAGTTTCTCTGCTTCAATCTCCAGGTATAATTTCAAACATTTTAGAACTGTTTGTGCTTTAATCTTAACTTGTTAGATCCTCCCGTACATACAGTAAAACCCTTTTGTCGTACAAAATCTCAATAGTGTAAAGGGTCCAATATTCCCTTTTTTGGGCGGTACAAGATCAATGCTCAATTTTTTCTAAACCAACGACCATTTGGTTTAGTGGCAACAAAACCTTTGAAGATATATTACGACCCCAAAACTAAAACCCCCTATATTGAAGGATGAGCGATTGATCGAGTGCGGGGTATGGTTAAAACTTAAAAGAATAACTACCATTTTCTCGAGTTGTAGTAACATATAGACCATAGGAGAAAAAAATGGTAAAGTATTATAATTTGCAAAATACCCAAATCCTTATCAGTCTCGAACTTCCCCAATCATTGGGTATTTATCAACAAAACTTATAAAATAGTTTCCCTTCAATGACTAGATTTGATGTGACCTAGCTAATTAATCACATCGTACGTATTTCCTAGTGGCCTATTGTTTCACATTAGTAATAATTAAACAAGGTTAAATCCACAGGCCACAAATTATTTTTTACTTTTTGGGATGACCAAAATGCATGGCTCCAACTTGGGGGACTCATTTTTTTTGTCTGTGGGAACATGAGTAACCTCCGTCACACATTAAAAAACAACAGTGTCAATGTCCTAACAGTTGCCTTTCTATTCAGTCTTCCCATTCTTTCTTCTTGTATTACATGTGAGGATTGCAGCCAGTTCTTGTTGTACGTACTCCAGGGCATGGTTAGCTCAAGTTTGCATGGACAAGAGAGAAGCTGAATCTATTCCATGGATAGGGTAGTAATGATCGGGATATCGGGGCCCTTTAGAAAAATAACACAAAAGTATAAATCCAACAAGCAAACCGTCAAATTAATCCCAACGACTGTGCTGTTCTCCAATCGAGTCTAACTCTGGCCCCATGATAATCCCCTCACGGGGCTTCTATGTCTGCTGCTATAAGATTGGTAGGGACGAATTTCCATTATCCTTTAACCATCCTTCATTATTAGTATCACGTTGTTGACCAAGTAATTAATGAGTAGAGTATCAATATATATCCTTTTTTTAAATAGTTCTTGCGATTGTTTTTGTAGACGAACTTGCTGATAAATATAATTTATCATTGTTGTTGCAGATGCTGCTACAGCTTGATCAGCTTTGAGTGTTGATGACCTAATCTGCTAGTTAATGTGTTCCCGTGTTGTTCTTAAATAATTTGTCTTTATTTCCTTTTTTTTTTTTTTAATTTATGGACAATGTTACTTAATCAAGCTATTCATGTAAGTGGAATATGGAACCATGTGATTCTCTTTTAATTTTTCCTTTTATTGTACTTTGGATTTAGTATATGTTGGTTGTTTGATTGTCCCGGCATTGGCACAGGCGTTTGATTGTTCATGTTTTGACATCTTTATTTTAATATATAACAATCAGTTCAGCTACTAATAATTAATTATATATTGAAACTTTCAAGCAACAGTAAACGTGGTTTCATGTCATTATTCCCTTTTGTAATTTTTCTTTATTGTTTTGGCTTTAGTATATGTTCGTTGTTTGATTGTCGCAGTATTCTCATGCTTGGATTGTTCATGTTTTGGACATCTTGATTAATTAATTAATTAATTTACTAAAATTTCTATACAGTAATCACGTTCACTGCAATTTTTGTAGGTAAAATTATTAGACTCTGCTAACTCTAACTCTATTTTCGTAACAAAAAACCAAGGTTGTGTCTGTGATCATTATTGGTGATTCAATAACCAATAGAATTCATACTATGTTTAATTCCTTAAACATTTGTTCTCCTGTCTCATCAATCATCCATTCATTTTCCCAAATGATTGTTTGGTTTTTACTTTTTTTAAACAAACGATTCGGAAAGGAATTAATTTACGCAATTATATGAGGTTAGCCATCTCTTCAACCCTTATCTTGTTTTCTTTCTTCTTCCTTGCGCAATCTCAATATCTAAAGCGGCTATCATTGACACCTTATGTCTTCCGAATATGTCTTTTCTTTGAGTGTCTCCTTTATATATTGTAGCAATTAGATCTCATCCTCTAAAACAATCTTGTTAATGTTTGACCAAAAAATAAACTTACGAAATGTGTATGATTAGGAAATAAAAGAACCAGCGTTCATTGGATCCAATCATTTTGTTCCTATTAACTTGTTTTTATTCGAAGGTTCCTCGGGTCATAATTACTCAAGATCATCAAAGGGATATTTTCAATGGATTTTGCCAAGAATATGGTCGACTTAGATACAGTATATAATGCATATCCGAAGTAATTAAGCATATTTATTACCTTTGACTTGAGATTCATCAAACCTATCTCTTTTATCTATTTTCATTAGTATTTGCGGCCATTTGATTTGTATGTATCTTTTGCAGGATTGCATAAATTTATCGTTGAGGATTCCGTGGGTTTATGGATGCATGGTTTATATTCCCTTTTTACTTTTTCTAATTCAATTGGATATGTTGAAATTCAATTAAGTTTCTGTTCACATCGAACGATCAATTGCTCGGAGCCCACTTAATTACGAACGATGATTGAATTCTTTTACCAAAAACATATATATATATATATATATATATGTGTGTGTGTGTATGTGTGTGTATATATATATTTATACTTTGTTTCATCTTTATCTTGATGTCGGAAAAAACTAATTAGTTTGAGAGTAAATTATATTAGCATTATCTAATTAAATTGGAAATTAATAAAAAAATAAAAATAAAAATTCCCCTGAACTTCTGTCCTCTAGTTAGCATTCAAAGTGGGAGTGTAACTAGATATTTTAGTTTTGAAGGTGAGTATTTGATTAATAACTTTTCAGGCATGGATTCTTCACTATTTTTCATCTTTCATCGTTGAATTTGAAAGAGATATTAGTAGGAATTTATCCAAAGAAAGAAACCAGGGTGGGTCTTATCCCATAGATGGAGGAATTTGTTGAAAACTAGTAGATTGGACTTTGATGATTTGCCGATTGGTCTAGCAGGAAAAGGAAAGAAAGTGAGATGAATTGGAAGTACCTAAAGGTATATATGACTGGATTCATTAACCGAGTAAAAATATGTCTTGGAATTAATCAAATCATGGAATTGGTTACAGGTGACATTTTTTATTTTATGTGAAGGTTGGATTAATAGCTAGCTTTTTCATGAATGAATGAATGGGAAGAGTGATTTCCAATGCTTTCTACGGAAACGACCACTTAGCTAGAGATTGGGCCAGTCGTTTCAAAAATCAAAACCACATCTGGGTCACTAATTGGCACTGCCTTGCTCTGGATAGCCCATTCAGCTTAATTAGTAGGCCTCAAAGACAATCACAAATCTAAACCTTCCAGCATGTTGTCTTGATGAAGGAGATGCTCATCCACCAACTCCTCCTTGCGCAACATTGCTGGGTTCAACCGCCCCTTTTGAGCTTTCAATAAAAAGGATAGCATCTTCATCTTGGGTTACTCTGAATGAGAGTGAATCCCTAAATTTCCAAAAAACCGAAAACCTAAGAGCCCTTTTCTCCTTCTTGAGAGTGAATCGAGGACAGTGATTGACCCCCCCTTTGGTTGGTGCTGTGTACCAGGGACCCGACCCGACTCAGCTCGGTTTGTTTGAGCTAAGCTTTTAGCTGCCTCGGTTTAAAATGCATGGTCTAGCCCAATCGTGCTCTTTATATCTTGGACTTCATTAACCAGGCTCAATCCTACAATGGTAACTAGATTGTGCTCTAAAACAAAGCCGAAAAAGTATTTTCATTGAAATCCAGGTCTTTTGCTGCCAATCTCTTGGTATTTTTATAATGCATATTATCTTAACTTCTCAAACTAAAAACTTAAAAAGACGTAAAATGTATAACTTTTACCTAAAGAAATAAATATACGATTTGTATCTTAAGCTTTCAATTAATGTATTAGTTTAATCTAAAATTTAATATTATTTACTTAATTCACTTATATAATATTTAACTAGTATAATTTTGTTATATACATGTCTTTTGTTAAATAAATATGTTAGATATTTTGTTAAAATTTCACGTGGATATTATCATATAAAAGCCAATTGATCAATAATAATTGATCGATTTTAGTTAATTTTTTATGGTTTAGATAAAATAAAAAATTTAATTTATCTTGAAAAAATATGTTGATTGTATATATAATAAACACGTAATTTAATAATATTTGTCAAACAACACATATGTAAGTTGATATGATTCACAAGATTAAAGTTTGAATTAATATAATACATAATCTGAAATTTTAAAATGCAAATTGTAGATTTTATTTCTTTGATTACCAATTTATATAATTCTTTCAAAATTCAAGTATCGAAAATATAATTAACTCTTTTTAAATTCATTTTTATCACCTTTCTTATTGTGACATTAGGGTTATTTTAAAAGGAGGCTTTGGTAAAAGATATATTAAACAACAAACTGATTAATAATATTGAATACCTTTAAAAAATTAATGTAACTTTTGAATTGATAACAACAAAGGCATATAAAATTCTGATGCAGCCAAAAATGAAGTCCTCCAATCATCATTCATCGTTATAATTTTGATCCTCAATATGAAATTAAATGATAAACAAACAATTAATTAGTCATATTAGATTCTTAATAATATAGTCATATCATCCTTTTTTTCAACTCATAACTTAATTTAATTAGTTTATACAATCACGTTTTAAGATGCAATATTTGATAGGATTGAAGGTCAAATTTCATTTTTATTGTTGATTTATTTATATGGAACGACATAAAATAAGTGCGATGTGCTTATTCAAAGAAACATGAATTTTTGGCATATGCCCTGTCTAGGTAGATATGAAACAGCAATTGAGTTGTTCAGCACCAACCAAGTTTACTAATTGTTAATAAGAGAAAAAAAAAGTCAAAATTATATATTGAAGACTTATTATTCTTCTAGTTATTATTAATATTTTTTTCGAAAAGAGGTCTCGATCATGCGCAAGGGCTGCCAATACAAAGCATGCAAGTTGCTTTAGGTGTATTAAATTAAACTAAGAAGAAAAAAAAGTTATGTCTCGAATCAATCTTCAGAGTAAGAAGGAATATGAGCTCAAAACTTCTGCTCTAATTAAACTATGAAGAAAAAAAGACACATACCTATCTAGCTAGGGGTGATCAAGTAAAGAAAGCATCCCTCCTTTATGTTATTTTAATATTTTCCCCTTTTCCTGCATTTATATTGACAAATGACAAGTTCAAGGGTGATCATTTAGATGGCTCATAGATTTTTCAACCAAAATCTTGCTCTAGAATCCAAGTGAACCAATTTACAAGCATTCTGTCATCAGCTTATTTAAATATGTGACAATTAATTTTAGACTGATGATGAACAGATTATGTATTTAGTACTGGTCAAATCCTGAAAAATATAAATGCAATTTCAGTTGACTATGGAGCTACAAATATGAAAATTGATAGATACAGAAAAGAGGGCAGAGTGACTTGAGAGCTTTTTAATGGATTTTTCAGAGCAAATCTAGGTGTAGGACCCAAACTACTTCGCTCAATGCCTTCTGTTGTTCAACTTTTATCAGTCAAAGGCAGAACAATGGAAATGCTATCCATCAACAATTTGCGCATCATGGCCTAAACAATCCAAATATGTGGCTCTTGAAAGGACCCCGGATTCAAAGATGAACATATTCCTTCATCATTCAAAGATTCAAAATTGGAAAATAAACAATAGAAAGATGAATGAAATTCAAGAATCTTTCGACCTTCCTCCCCATTACATAAAGGCATCAAATCCAATCATCTTTTAGGTTTTTAAGCCAAGTGGGTTAGGCCTTAACATCCCACTAGTATATAGATTTTTTACTCAATTTGTTAATATTAAAATCTAAACAATGGGTTCTTCTTCATTCATTTGTTGCTAGGGTTAGTGTTCATGCATTATATTATTCAACTAAAAAGGTTGGTGCGAAATTCAATATATACCTAGTTTAGGCACACTTGCTTTTGATTTCCAGGTATTGATCAACAGGAAGTTGGTAGACCTTTCCCCCAATGTCTTCTTATGATTCATGGGAGAGAGTCTAAGCTTGTTTTTTGTCAAAAGATGATGTAAAATGAAGGCATAGTTTCAAGTCGGACTTGGGACTGAGTAGGCACAAAATCTACGCTACAGATGATGTAACAGACATAACCTCATGTCAGTTTGACTGCAACATAAAGAAAAAAAAATGCAGATAATCATGATTAAACAAATCTCTTGTCTATTTATAAACCTTAATCGAGGAAAAGCTGTTCAACTGGAGCAGGTTTTTCCACGCCAAAGACGAAAACAGTAAAGAGAAAAATGGAGGAAAACAATGGAAAGTTGAAACGCTTTTTCTTGCAATAAGCACCTCCCCCGAAATGTGGTGAGTACTCCAAACATTTTAAGCA